TCTTAAAACACAATAAAATCTTTTAAAAAAATGTTACTAGTAAAACTGATTAACAAGTATGAATTTTAAGCATTAAATATTATGACAGCTAACATCTGAATTTAATTGAAGACTTAAAGTACTCATTGAATATTAATAATTTGCTGGCAGGACAAAATTATTGCAACAGAAAAAAGTGATAACACAAAAGCTCAACATATTATTTTAATTTCAAAACATCATCTTAAGTTATTTCAGGCAGTGCTAATAGCTTGACTATCAGTAACACTGATCAAAATAATCAGTCAATTAGATGAAAATGAGAAGGGATCAATCTTTTGTATTTGGGCACTAGCATAAAAGGTAATACTCTTCTAGACACAACAATTCAGCCCCAAAAATGATATATCAACCATCAGAAAATCTCCTAAGTCTACTTAGGGAACGAACGTAAAATATAAATATCAAAAATATGGTAGATCACATTGTGTCACACAAACAGTTCAAGTAGGCATCCCTTAAGCGCTCAGATATAACTAGTTGATCTTAATCATCAGGATCCAAGGCCTTATACCCTCTCCCTCCCATAGTGCACATATGTCAAAGTTGTAAAACCTCAAGCAAACAGAAACACAATTCATGTAGCAGCGTAAGGACTGCCTATTAATCTCCTACAGGATGAGGTTGAGCACCAGAACATTACATCACAACCAAGAATACATCAAAGCAAGGTGCCAGTTCAAAACAAAGTATATGCTTGAGCATACATAGCTACATGGAACTTCTGAACAAAGACTCTATCTCAAAATATACAGTGCTCTACTTCCAAACAGGAAATAAGCAGGACTCATGTGGACAAGGCACCATCATCAGGAAGCAAGGAGCATACAAGAATGTTAGGAAATGGAAGTGCAATTTATGGAACAAGAATGGAGTTTCACACAAGGAATTACTGCCTCATTTTATACAAACATACACAATATAGAAATCTGAAAGTTAGGGTTTCAAAGAGCATGGAAGCCTCCCTGGATGCAAAAGATCCCTGACTGTTGGTCTACTTCCCTCATGGAGGGAACACATGGAGCACAATGGGGAAGAGGAGAGACTGAACTAGTGTGTTCGTTATTCACTATACACTAAAGCAGGACACCTCAGTATGAATTAGAAGTTCCTTCTCGGCAGTAAGAGAAATGCATTCCATATTCTGCACATCCTAATCAAGCAACCATTGTATACATACGACTTTCCAGAAGGAAGGAATGAGCACTATGCTGAAGTCTAAAACTCTTAAAAGCAACCATCTGCCCATCACTTTTAATAACTACTGAGAATGCCCATTCAGCTTGAAACTGAAAAGGAGAACTATTGCCACTACAGTAATGTTGAATAGCTAATACTAACAGGCTATTATAGGCTTGCACAAATCATCCCTGCCCAGATGAGTAATTTCTATAGGCTTATGAAACATTCCCATATTTTTACAGATGTTTTATAATGAACATGAATTACACCAAGGCTTGCCTACAGTACCATGTAAATGGATCAACCTCAACAGATTACTTTACCATATAAATAATTTTTTGTTTTACCTATACAACTTGCTTTGTTATGCAACACAAGTCCTTTTTGACCATTCCTCCTCTTATGTTCTAGGACTATGCAAAGCTTCAGATTCAGTTCTGAAGAAATGTTTTGAAATGTGTGGGAATACAAAGGCAGCACTCACATGGGGCTCATTAAAGCAGCTGTGTGCATTTCCAAGATCATGCTGCTGTGCAGGAAAGCTTATGCTGCAGTACCACAATCCTAAGAACAGATGAAGCTGCTTTAGTGAGTCACCCCCAGGTGTTCCATTCCTATTTCTGTGCATTGTAAAACACATCTTCTGAATCAAACCTGAAGCACTGCAGTGCCCAACTGTGTTCCCTACAGGTTCTAAATCCAAGGTCTAAATCAAATGGAAAGCCTGTGCATGCAGGACACATGATGTGCTTCTCAGAGAGATGGGAGCAGAGCCAAGCCAAGTCATGGTGAGACTATCACACAGATTCCTGACCTCCCCAGACACATAATGGGACAAACTAAAGGCGAACAGGTAAAGTCTCCTTCAAGCCAAGCTCAGTTCCTGGTTAATTTATGGCCATGTCTGTGACATTTTCCTGGCACCAATATGAAAGACGCTTGCTACTCTCTTCCCTGTTTTTCAATTTCCCAGTCTAGGCTGTAGTCCTCGTATTCCCTGGAGGTCTCTTATCCAAATACTTGCTAACCAGGTCCAACTCTGTTTCATTTCTTGAGCCCAGATACAATCAGCAAATGCTGCCACCTGCTGAGAAATAGTTGATTTAATGATGGCCAAACAAGGTGGCATCTTGTTGGTCTAGCAGCTGGTCAAACATTCCCTTCACTTATTTGTTTTCAGCCTATTAAAATAAACTGCTAGAATAAAGTAAGGATACTCAGCCATCCACAGCATTTCAAAAAGGCTTTATGAAAGCAGAGAAGAGCACAAAGCAATATAGCAATTTCTCACTTTTTTTAATCCCTTGTAAGCCATCTGAAAACAAAGTAACAATATTTTGTTTCTAATCCTCAATATTATAACTTGATTCACTGATGTATCTGTAATCATTAGCTCGTATAAATATAGCCTAGGAAACTATACAAAAGGAATTTGACTCTTCCAGGATTCAAACCACACTGAATGCTAGTCTGCGTTATCTGCCTGCTAAATTATGCCATTAAGGTAAATGAGAGGAAAAATTAGGAAAGGTCAAAATACTAATTCTTATTTACGTTACTGAGACATTTTCAAAATTTTCATTTTTTAAAGATATCACAATAATAAGCTATATCCTTCTGCTGTACTCTCTCATTTGTCAATGCATTTATTAAAAAAAAAATTACAAAATTTAAGTCAAGCTTCATACTGTTCATTTTTTGCTCTCTGTGTCTGGTTATGCGCACCTGTAGTTCTCAAGAGTTACCTGGGAGTATTTTTTTGTTAGCAGTGAGTAATAGCACAAATGTAATTTTACACAGAAATGTCTCTAAACGTTTCAGGACCTCTGCTTCAAAACTGAAGCACCCAGGAACATCAACTTCTTGCAAACCAATACAGGGCACAGAGCCAAAACTATACTTTTTAATATTTGGTTTGCATCAGCAGACAGTGTTTGAGTTCACATGTGTGAATCCTGCTGCCTAGAATTCAAAGAAGAGGCATATAAATGTTTGTAAATAAATAAATCCTATATTGTGTAACCAAAGTTTGTCAAATAAGCCATAATCAGCCTGGCTCACAAGTTATAAACCATAGGATACAAAATATTCACATAACATCCTCAGTTAAACCAAGCAAACCATACTGTAGTTTTAGGTGTTGTTTGTGATCCCACTTAAGTCAGAGCTTTAAACATATGTCAGATGCTCTTCTTCAAAAGGCATTCCCTCCAATAAGCAATGAAGGACAGCCTAATGCTTAGGGATGTGCAAAACTCATCAATTCCAGAGAACCCCAGAACATTCCACTCCCTCTCCAGACCATGCTGAACCCCGCCCCCATGCTGTCTGGGAGCTGTTCTGAGAGTATTGAAAGCAAATCCTCGAAACTGGAAGCAGATTAGAGAATTTACTTCTGGAAACCACAAACTCCTCCAGAACAGCATGGTCCAATAAGTAAAATGAATGAAAGCATCATCCAGAGGGAAACTGGAATGTGCTGTTTCCAAATTGGCAAGCTCTACATATCCCTACTGGTGACCGACCAATGCAAGACTCTTGCAACTGATGCAGAGTGGAGCAGAAGGAGATCAACTTTCTAGGTATGTATCTTCAAGGATGATGAGGCAGGGCACCACACCAAAATTGTAGCACAAGTCAAATGTAAAAATATCCCTTCTATCTTATTTTTTAAAATTTATTTTTAGAAAAGCACTTAAAGTAACATGCAAGCATTCAGATCAGGTAACATTTTTAAAAACTGAGAAATAATAGAAGTATCAAAGCAAGTTTTGGCACTTTCAAAATTTTTCAAACAGGCTTGCGCTTCATGAACCTAATGAATCAAACTGTAGTCTCTGAAAACTCATGACATGATCCAACTGTTAGTCTTTTAAGGTACCCCACATTCTCCTGTTTTTGCTGCAACAGACTGACATTGACACCACTTTGGAAATGATGAAAATGTACAGATAACAGCTAAAAATAGCAGCTGCAACTCTATTTAGGCAAGACTTGGTCCATGAAATAGTTTTTTGGGGTGGAAAGAAAAGAATATGTGCTTCTAGAATTTGGCTGCCACATGATGGGCTCGAGAACATGACTCATGAAACGCTCTTCCCAGTGAACCAGTTGAAAGGGGAAGGGTCAAGAACGCAGCTAAAACAACACATGCGCAATAGTAATATTAATAGTTCCATATAAGAAAGCAGCTTGTTATGAAACAACTGTCCAAAAGCTCACCTCATGGGGAAATTTTATTAATTTTTTGTAAATAAATCAAGATGGGATATATATAGATAGGTATCACATGGATGGGGAACTATGGCTCTCCAAAGGTTGCTGAGATACGAACCCCAGCAACCCTAATCAGCATGTTGGGAGTTGCAGTTCAGGTATAGTGATTATGATATGGGTGTGACAGTGGAGAGACCCAGGTTCAAGATCACCCCCAACCATGGAATCTCATGAGGTGACTTTGGAATCATCTTTTCCTCTCAGCCCATGTAATGTGCCTTGAGCAACCGGAAGGGTACCAATCTAACAAGTAAACAAACATCTGGGAGGCCACAGGCTAAGTGGTGGCTTCTCCTCAACCCAAACATTTCTAAGGAAGCAAAAGATGAGCAACTTGCTTCCCTCAACCTCCACTAATTTCCTCTATTTCTACACAAGGTCAGGTTTAACCAAAGAAATGTACAATAGCAGTAGTCTGAAAACAAGCCTTTTGAAATGGCAAACCACGGCAATCCCTTCTCTGGTGTGGGGGGGGGATCAGGGGAAGAGACATATTTCCTCACCTTTCTTCATCCTTGAAAATGAATTTCCGCAGTTTGAGATCCCGCAGGACGAGCCCACCATCATGACAGTGTGCTACAGCGGAGGCTATCTGATAGAAAAGCTTGGCTGCCTCTTCCTCCTTCAGCTTCTTGCAGGTACGAACAAAGGAATGCATGTCCCCATAGCTCCGCTCAAAGAACACATAGGCTTTTGTCTCTCCAAGAATCACTTCGGTAATTTGGTTGATGTTGTCATGAGGAGGCAGACAAAAACATGGCGCAAGTAATTCTTGGTAGCAGCCAATATCGAACACCTAGAATTTGAGTTGGCAATAAAGGAAAGGGTTACCAAAAGCAAGACAAGAAAAACTCCAGCACACTGTTGTAGACATGAAAAGTTAGAACCTGGTCAATACCAGATCAAGAAACACCTTGAATTAAGCAAGCATTGCCCAGTGTGTTGAGACAATAAGCCCCAGAATTCCCAGCCAGCACACAGACTTTGGGGATTCTGGAAGCTGCAATCCCAACACATCTGCAGGGTGACAAGGCTGAGAAAGGAGGAGTTAACTGTAACAGCCATTTTTATTTAAATACTTGATGCCCTGGGCAGGCATTTCCCATAATGAAACTTTGTTTTCCCCTCCCCCAGGTCCCAAAACTGGCTAGTGAAAATATCAAAGGTTCTAGCTGGGGAAGGGAAAGGATGTATTTTTTCTCAATGAAAACAAAAAGAGATTTAAAAAAAAAAAAAAAGAACTCTCTGGATGAGAAAGAGGGAGAGGGAAAATTAAAAATCCATGACAGTCCAGCATCTGATTTAATTCTGTATTTGAGATACAATGCCTGGTGCCTTTCAGTAAAAGGAAGTTTACCAGGCTATAAGTCTTGTGCTTTCCTCCCATAATTTGAATGGAAT